ATTTGTACCATATCATGGTCTTACATCTAGAAGCTGAAAAAGTGTCATTTCTGAACAGTGCCACATTTTTAACATTTAAGTTTAAAAACTACATTTACACAACATCAGTGTTATACTTTGCAAACCTTCTAAACCCGACACAACAGAGCTTATCAGTATCTAATCTGACCACAGTCCTGCTCCACACAGGACAAGTGACCGTTAGTTAATCAGTTATTGAGATATGTATAACTATATAATCTCTTTATAATAGGGGACTATAGTATAGATCACACTGATAACAATAAGCTATGTCAACTCTGATCTAAACTGTGTTGTCCCCTGTTAAGTAACTCGTTAACCAGCAGTCTCTGGGCTTTCACTGAGGGTGAGCTGTGGTTGTGATCCTCTGTAGGTGATTGTGCAGCGCTCCCTCGCTGCTAAGAGCCTGACACATGCAAAAGGAGGCTCACTACTTGCTGCTTATCTAAAGATTGTGCCTTTCTTTGCCATTATGCTGCCTGGCATGATCAGCAGGATCCTTTACACAGGTATGATATGCATGTATTTACCAATGAGTGTGTGTTTATACTTATACGACTTAATTAACCCCATAAAAAGACTGAATTTGGTCTTTAGTTGACAACTGATTGTTGCGTAATGCAGATAGTTTAAAGTCTTCCTCCGGTGAAAATCAGTAGAAGTATTTCCACCTTAACCCTGCAGTAGACAAATTCCTATCTGGAAAAAAAAGTGGGGCGTTGGCGAACAGGGGAGGAGCCATATTAATATTAGGCCTTGAGGGATAAAAATATGTAAAATGGAAGAAAAAAGAAGAGTTTTGTGGGGGGGTGATGAAGCTGCTGATCATAGTGATGCTGAACTGTAGCTGGTAAAACAGGGTCAAACATTGTGGATATATGAATTTCAGTTGTTGTGTGTGTTAATGTTATTGTGTAGATGATGTGGCGTGTGCAGAGCCTGAGCTGTGCAAACAGATCTGTGGCAATGCAGTGGGTTGTTCAGATACTGCCTACGTCAGACTGGTGATGGAGCTGCTGCCAACAGGTGAGACATCTGTTCTTAACCTGTCCTGCCTTTTGCTCTTTTTTTTTTTTTAACTCCGATCTGTGTGTTTTTTGTGCCCAGGATTGAGGGGTTTGATGATGGCAGTGATGCTCGCCGCCCTCATGTCCTCTCTGACCTCCATCTTTAACAGTGCCAGCACCATTTTCACCATGGATCTGTGGAAGAGCTACAGATCCCGTGCTACTGAATGGGAGCTCATGATTGTGGGCAGGTATGTGAGCACATCTGAAAAGCAGACATAACTGGAAATATAGTTCTTGTTTCACCACTATATCCTGTACTGAAGCACTGGTTTGTGTCCGCAACAAATAACTCTGTTTATATTCTCATCTGCGTTTGTTTATTTGTTTGTTAGCAGGATTACGCAAAAACTTCTCAACCATGAAATTGTGCAGATGGATGGGACATGACCCACAGTGGAAACAATTACAATTTTCCTTTATTTCTCAGAGAATAATTCATGGATCTTGATGAAAAAATCATGCATGTTAGGTGCAAAGCAAAGAGTAAATAGAACCGGCCTCTGCAGTGACCCAACCTGTGTCCGTTTCTTTTTCCGCTGGGCCTTAAATTGAAGTTTAAAGGCTTATAAACCGTCTACATTTAAAAAAGTAACCATGTGTGGCGTAACTCTGCTCTTTGGATCATTACATTTTTCTGTCATGCTCACCCAAACCCTAACCCCCCTCCACATATTTCTATGTAATGACTTTAACAGATTTTTTCCTCTTACACAGACACACACAGCCTCATAGCTCCATGTAACTGCTGTCCTGTGATCATATTACATCGTGCCTTTTATATTTAAAATACGGACCTTATGTTCAATGTGCTGCAGGGTGTTTGTTCTCGTGCTGGTGGTGGCGTCCGTGCTGTGGATTCCTGTTGTCCAGGCCAGTCAGGGGGGGCAGCTCTTTATCTACATCCAGTCCATCAGCACCTACCTCCAGCCCCCAGTCTCCATCATCTTCCTCTTGGGCTGCTTCTGGAAGAGGACTAATGAGAAGGTGAGGATGCCTATCATTGCCCCGGGTCATATTTTAAATAAATCTTAATATTTATACTTTGGGTAAGAAAATATACTTTTCTTTTTCATATATCTCAATATATCAATACAGTAAATGACTCATTTCCACACCTCCTCTCCTGTTGTACTATATGACAGCAA